GGACTGCGTTGGACATCTGGGTGAATGCAGATCATCCTCAGCCTTGGTTAAAGGCTCATTTGTTAGGGGAGGTAGCACCCCTGCCTTTTGATGCAACTTGCTCCTCCAAGATCCCAGGCTCTGGAGGTGCCTCTCTGTACACGCAACTCTAAAAGCCTGCACTTCCTCTTGCTTAGGTCTTTCGAGTTCAAGAGGAGGCCCAGGTGTCAGAGTTCACCAGAAGCAGACCCTGAGAGAAGATTCAAGAGCAAGTCACTTGTTTGGAAAGAGGAAACACCAGTAATGGGCGGTAAGTGACTCAGGGGAAGGACAGCAACTGGACTTAACCCCTCAGATTCCTGCAGGGCTGAGGGCCAGGGCTTTCCAGGTCTTCAGCTGAGAGCAGCCCTAGGGCAGCCAGGGCAGGAGGATGTTTCAGCTGCACTGAGGGATATGAATTAGTGCCAACCATGTCTGCTCCATGGAGTATGTGTTCCGAGCGGCCAGTGAGGGGGATACCAGTGCCCTTGAGCCTGGGCCAGCCTCCTGACATGAGACACCAGAGGCATGCATCAATCCAACTTTTTGATGGCTGAGTCTGTGCCAATAAAATCCTTTGGTGAGGGGAGTCCCAGCAGAAATTTTAAGGTACTGCTGGCTTCATGGCTCTGCTTAAATTAGGAAGACCCCAACTCAAGTTCTATACCACTGTCATGTAAGACTTAGACTACCATCTGGTGGTCAGGGAGGTACACCCGCCTACCTCAGCCACTCAGGTTAGGCTTGGTCAGCACCTGGACCCTCACCCCTGTCCCACGCTGGAACAAGTCAAGTCACAGTCTAAGTTTCACATTAGCCTTTTATTATAACCATTTTGAAAGGGGTCACTTTGCCAAAAGGACAATTCATTTCTTAAGCCACTGTGAGTTATAGCATAAACATGGACGAGAAAAAACAAATAGGGTATAAATGGCACCGTTGAGAATTGCATACTTTAAATCAAATGAATTATGCTACTATGAGGAAAATTATATGGCAACTGGTACATCAAAGTGAGTAGCATGACCTTTACATGTATTTTAACACTATAAAAACAGAACTTGAGAAGGAAACACTCTGGCCTGTGAGGAGGAAGCCCAGTGTGCCAGCTGTCCTTCCTGTAGAACCCCTCCTCGGCTTCCCCAGCTGGACATCCCGGGGTCAGAAGGGACAGACTGACTGTTGATCTGCAATGACCTCTTGGGGGGAATGAAAACAAAAATAATATACTGGGGTCGGCTCCAGGAGGCTATTTAAATCCCTCAGAGACAATGTCTCTCTGACAAAGAAGGGTGCCTCATTCTTGCAGATGGTTGTTGTTAAGTGCCTTCGAGTACGTTACGGCCCATAGAGACCCTGTACAGGGTTTCTGAGGGTTTAGAACCGCTGACCTTAAGGTTCGCAGCCTGATTTGTACCCACTACACTACCAGAGCTCCTGCAGATGGTAGGCAACGAGAACTCATCCCGACACTTCCGCGGTGCGGTGTGGATGGTGCGATGCACAAGGTTCGGCCCAGTCATATGCAGAGAAGACAAATCACAGAGGGGCCCTAGTTTATCTTTAGAGTCACATTTATTCTTCAGTGTTGTTAGGAGGCAGTCATCTTAGATTTTTCCAGTATAATTAGAGATTCAAAATGTTAAATGATCCTTTGGCATATACACACGACAAGGCAAAGCTATTGTTGATTCTTTTCCTTAACTCTCATACGTAATGCACACAGAAAAAGTTCAACTCAGATTTCCAGAATGATCACAGAGGAATGCATGAAACACATAGGGCCATGTATATAAAAAAAAGAGTAACGATAATTAATCAAAACGTTACTCATATAAAATGTATCTAACTGTGAATAATCAATTAAACAAAAGTACCTGATAAAAGAAACACATTTTTTAATGCACTACAATAAAAATGCAAAAACAAAAGAATATGTTTTGAAGAATTAAAAAAAAAAAATCACCTAAAAAAGGTAGGACAGTAACCTAATTCTCTAACACTAGGAACTGGGGTGGCCATTGCCCCTGATGCCTCTCTTCTGGGAACACAAGAGAGCCGGGGGCACTGGTGCAGCCCCTCTGGGTGAGCACATTGGCTCTTACATGGCACCAAGGCAGATGCAGAATGGAGAGGCCCCACTCTAGTGGGCAGGTGAGAAGAAATGTCTAGTGACCACTAAACACAGCCAACTGAAGGAAATAGCTCAGGGTCCTGGTGATGGGTGGGCACCCAGCAGCCTCCTGTGTGACCAGGGACACTAGATTTTTATGACTCTTGCTCTCCTGATAAAATAGCTGGAGGACCTGAGCAGGTGATGAGGGGTTAAGTCCAGGGGAAGGCCAGCTCTGAGGTCCTTTTCAGACTACAGTCTCAAAACAAATCCCAGGGCTAACTGAAACCCTCTCTGCAGTGGCTGACTTGCGGGTCATCACCACTTTCTTGGAGAGTGGGTGGGAAATCATGTCATTAGCAAATCTGTCTCTGGGGGATGAAGGTTAGCAGTGGGGAGGGATCCTTCGTACCCACCATTGGTTGAGGAGGGCCCAAGGAGCCCATCACCCTGGGCAAGACGGCTCTTCCCCAATGTCCATGAAATGTGGTGCTGTGTCTAACAGCACACTTCCATCTCTTGCCGGTAGACTGTCTACTCAGGCAAAGGAGAGAATTGGCCCATCTGCCGCACTGAGCCCATTTTCATTCCCTAAGCTGCCAACTGAGGATGGGAAAGGCTCAGGCTCGCACACCTGCAGCCCCGCCCCCCCACGTCTGACTCTTGCAGAAATTCTGCATATTCCTGGCATCTGAAACATTCTCCAGGAATCTCTGCTCCCTATATAGTTGGGGCTCCAGGTCTATTCCCTGTTCCGTTCCTGCTCCCTTAAGGCCTATAAGCATTGGAATCTGAACTGGGTGTTTTCCCTTTACTCTTCAGTTGGCAGGTTGGCAGGTATGAGACCTGTCCTAACAGTAGAGAACGTGACCATAAAACTAACTGAAAGGTGTACATCTCATAAAGTCAGGCATAATTTTTCAGTGGAAGGAACAGTAATATTCTAACAACTTTTGAAGTCAGTGCAGTAAAGATTGGTTTAAAAGTGAGCCTGTTTTCTGGCTATGAAAGATCCTATGGTAAACACAATACTTAAGGAAGGTGAGCAATACTTTGAGATTTAGAAATGTAAGAAAGCAAAATAAGAAAAAAATACAATGCAACCTGACACCCAAATATGATCCTTTAGTTTAGACCCAGTTTTTAATGACCAGTATTATAACTTTTTGATGAGTTCTAGTTCATTCCATTGCATTTGGCTCACTTGTATTCCTTTCCAAGATAGGAATGAAGTAGACTGAGACATATAGATTTCTAGAGAGGCAATGTTTTTTTATGTATCAAGCAGTTTTTCTATTCCTGATGCTATGAAACCAGCGTTAACTGTGGAATTGCCACCTCGTCTTAAGGAAGACAGGACAGAGGAAAAGTGCCTAATTGTGGTTTTGTATTTTCTGACAGTGTCTGCTGGTATTAAGCCAGCTCTAATGCAGTGCTGGGGTGGGCTGGGAGCAGGAAGGGCCCAGAGAGGCTGTCAGAATTCTGTGAACAAGTCTGTGAGTTATGGTCACATCTGCTTCGCTTGGATTTTTCTAAGGGTCCCAATGGGCTGCACAATGCCAAATTTATGCTGGGAAAGAGTACTGGTATTAAAGACTCCACTGGGGGAGCCTCAGTTAGCCTCAGGACCAGGCACCATAGTCAGAAGTCCAGGGGGTTCACGATGGTGAAGCCTGAGTCCTTACTGTGGTTGCTGCTGTCATCGTCAGGGCTGGAGCTTGGGTTGCTGGAGGAGGCTGAGGTTGGGCCCATCAGGGGGTCAGAGAACACAAGCGGGGATCGGGCCAAAACCTCGCTTTTCCTGGATGCACTTCTGAGGATACGAAGAGGCTGTGCTTGGCCTACGCAGGCTCCCCTGGCACTGGCACCATTGTCTTCTCTGGAGACCAGGATGAAGTCGTCTGAACTTCCTCCGTCTGTGTGTCCTGCCATTTCGGAGGAGGCCTGTAAAGTATAATCAAGAGGACAGGTGGGCCAGAGAAGAACATCATTAGGAAAGAAAATTGTAAACCAATACCTCTCATGAATATAGATCTAAACCAATACCTCTCATGAATATAGATCTAAAACTTCTCAACAAAATCCTAGCCAAAAGAATCCAACAGCACATGAAAAAAGAAAAAAAAAAAAAATTACATCGTGACCAAGTGGGATTCGTATCAGGGATGCAAGGATGGTTCAACATTAGAAAAACAATCAATGTAATTCACCATATAAACAAGAAAAAAGAAAAGAACCATACGATCATATTGATTGATGCATAAAAGGCATTTGACAAAATCCAGCATCCATTCCTGATAAAAACACTCAACAAAGTAGGAATTCAAGTGAAATTTCCTCACCATAATTGAGATCATATATACAAAACCAACAGCCTACATTATTCTCAATGGAGAGAAACTGAAAGCCTTCCCTGAAAGCCTTCCCTCTGTGAACAGGAACCAGACAAGGATGCCCTTTATCACCACTCTTATTCAATATTGTGCTGGAAGTCTTAGCAAGAGCTATATGGCAAGACAGGGAAATTAAAGGCATCCAAATTGGCGAAGAGGAAGTAAAACTTTC